GTATCAGAAACCTTTCCTACGAGGATAGACTGAGGGCAATGAATCTGCATTCTCTAGAAAGGCGTAGAATTAGGTAGTAGGTTGGTAGACAGCAACCACCCAGGGAAGTACTACCGTCCTGCCAGATGACTGTGAAACAAAAACCTGTAACTGTTTTGCATGATGGTAGGATTGCTGGTTTCTTTTTCTGTCTCATAAACACGCTAAGATAACAGGGATATCTTGCTACTCCTACTTACACTTTGGTCACACTTCATAGACACGCACATGCATATATATATATATACATACATCTAGGTTTTTCTCCTTTTTCTAAATAGCTCTTGTTCTTTTTATTTCTTCTATTGTCCATGGGGAAGTGGAAAAGAATCTTTCCTCCGTAAGCCATGCGTGTCGTATGAGGCGACTAAAATGCCGGGAGCAATGGGCTAGTAACCCCTTCTCCTGTATACAATTACTAAAAAAGAGAAGAAGAAAAACTTTATAAAACTGGGTTGCTTAAATGTGCGTGGATGTAGTGCGGATGACAAGAAACAGATGATTGCTGATGTTATGAATGAAAAGAAGTTGGATGTCCTGGCCCTAAGCGAAACAAAGCTGAAGGGGGTAGGAGAGTTTCAGTGGGGGGAAATAAATGGGATTAAATCTGGAGTATCTGAGAGAGTTAGAGCAAAGGAAGGGTAGCAGTAATGTTAAATGATCAGTTATGGAAGGAGAAAAGAGAATATGAATGTGTAAATTCAAGAATTATGTGGATTAAAGTAAAGGTTGGATGCGAGAAGTGGGTCATAATAAGCGTGTATGCACCTGGAGAAGAGAGGAATGCAGAGGAGAGAGAGAGATTTTGGGAGATGTTAAGTGAATGTATAGGAGCCTTTGAACCAAGTGAGAGAGTAATTGTGGTAGGGGACTTGAATGCTAAAGTAGGAGAAACTTTTAGAGAGGGTGTGGTAGGTAAGTTTGGGGTGCCAGGTGTAAATGATAATGGGAGCCCTTTGATTGAACTTTGTATAGAAAGGGGTTTAGTTATAGGTAATACATATTTTAAGAAAAGAGGATAAATAAGTATACACGATATGATGTAGGGCGAAATGACAGTAGTTTGTTGGATTATGTATTGGTAGATAAAAGACTGTTGAGTAGACTTCAGGATGTACATGTTTATAGAGGGGCCACAGATATATCAGATCACTTTCTAGTTGTAGCTACACTGAGAGTAAAAGGTAGATGGGATACAAGGAGAATAGAAGCATCAGGGAAGAGAGAGGTAAAGGTTTATAAACTAAAAGAGGAGGCAGTTAGGGTAAGATATAAACAGCTATTGGAGGATAGATGGGCTAATGAGAGCATAGGCAATGGGGTCGAAGAGGTATGGGGTAGGTTTAAAAATGTAGTGTTAGAGTGTTCAGCAGAAGTTTGTGGTTACAGGAAAGTGGGTGCAGGAGGGAAGAGGAGCGATTGGTGGAATGATGATGTAAAGAGAGTAGTAAGGGAGAAAAAGTTAGCATATGAGAAGTTTTTACAAAGTAGAAGTGATGCAAGGAGGGAAGAGTATATGGAGAAAAAGAGAGAAGTTAAGAGAGTGGTGAAGCAATGTAAAAAGAGAGCAAATGAGAGAGTGGGTGAGATGTTATCAACAAATTTTGTTGAAAATAAGAAAAAGTTTTGGAGTGAGATTAACAAGTTAAGAAAGCCTAGAGAACAAATGGATTTGTCAGTTAAAAATAGGAGAGGAGAGTTATTAAATGGAGAGTTAGAGGTATTGGGAAGATGGAAGGAATATTTTGAGGAATTGTTAAATGTTGATGAAGATAGGGAAGCTGTGATTTCGTGTATAGGGCAAGGAGGAATAACATCTTGTAGGAGTGAGGAAGAGTCAGTTGTGAGTGTGGGGGAAGTTCGTGAGGCAGTAGGTAAAATGAAAGGGGGTAAGGCAGCCGGGATTGATGGGATAAAGATAGAAATGTTAAAAGCAGGTGGGATATAGTTTTGGAGTGGTTGGTGCAATTATTTAATAAATGTATGGAAGAGGGTAAGGTACCTAGGGATTGGCAGAGAGCATGCATAGTTCCTTTGTATAAAGGCAAAGGGGATAAAAGAGAGTGCAAAAATTATAGGGGATAAGTCTGTTGAGTGTACCTGGTAAAGTGTATGGTAGAGTTATAATTGAAAGAATTAAGAGTAAGACGGAGAATAGGATAGCAGATGAACAAGGAGGCTTTAGGAAAGGTAGGGGGTGTGTGGACCAGGTGTTTACAGTGAAACATATAAGTGAACAGTATTTAGATAAGGCTAAAGAGGTCTTTGTGGCATTTATGGATTTGGAAAAGGCGTATGACAGGGTGGATAGGGGGGCAATGTGGCAGATGTTGCAAGTGTATGGTGTAGGAGGTAGGTTACTGAAAGCAGTGAAGAGTTTTTACGAGGATAGTGAGGCTCAAGTTAGAGTATGTAGGAAAGAGGGGAATTTTTTCCCAGTAAAAGTAGGCCTTAGACAAGGATGTGTGATGTCACCGTGGTTGTTTAATATATTTATAGATGGGGTTGTAAGAGAAGTAAATGCGAGGGTCTTGGCAAGAGGCGTGGAGTTAAAAGATAAAGAATCACACACAAAGTGGGAGTTGTCACAGCTGCTCTTTGCTGATGACACTGTGCTCTTGGGAGATTCTGAAGAGAAGTTGCAGAGATTGGTGGATGAATTTGGTAGGGTGTGCAAAAGAAGAAAATTAAAGGTGAATACAGGAAAGAGTAAGGTTATGAGGATAACAAAAAGATTAGGTGATGAAAGATTGAATATCAGATTGGAGGGAGAGAGTATGGAGGAGGTGAACGTATTCAGATATTTGGGAGTGGACGTGTCAGCGGATGGGTCTATGAAAGATGAGGTGAATCATAGAATTGATGAGGGAAAAAGAGTGAGTGGTGCACTTAGGAGTCTGTGGAGACAAAGAACTTTGTCCTTGGAGGCAAAGAGGGGAATGTATGAGAGTATAGTTTTACCAACGCTCTTATATGGGTGTGAAGCGTGGGTGATGAATGTTGCAGCGAGGAGAAGGCTGGAGGCAGTGGAGATGTCATGTCTGAGGGCAATGTGTGGTGTGAATATAATGCAGAGAATTCGTAGTTTGGAAGTTAGGAGGAGGTGCGGGATTACCAAAACTGTTGTCCAGAGGGCTGAGGAAGGGTTGTTGAGGTGGTTCGGACATGTAGAGAGAATGGAGCGAAACAGAATGACTTCAAGAGTGTATCAGTCTGTAGTGGAAGGAAGGCGGGGTAGGGGTCGGCCTAGGAAGGGTTGGAGGGAGGGGGTAAAGGAGGTTTTGTGTGCGAGGGGCTTGGACTTCCAGCAGGCATGCGTGAGCGTGTTTGATAGGAGTGAATGGAGACAAATGGTTTTTAATACTTGACGTGCTGTTGGAGTGTGAGCAAAGTAACATTTATGAAGGGATTCAGGGAAACCGGCAGGCCGGACTTGAGTCCTGGAGATGGGAAGTACAGTGCCTGCACTCTGAAGGAGGGGTGTTAATGTTGCAGTTTAAAAACTGTAGTGTAAAGCACCCTTCTGGCAAGACAGTGATGGAGTGAATGATGGTGAAAGTTTTTCTTTTTCGGGCCACCCTGCCTTGGTGGGAATCGGCCGGTGTGATAATAAAAAAAAAAAAAAAAAAAATATGATTAAGGTCTATAAATGGAAAACAGGAGTAAATTAAGGGGATGTAAATGACGTGATAAAAATATTTAACCAAAAATGTGTTCAAGTTGACTTAGTTGCGTCTAACAAGCCAGCCTTCAAACCTGCACATTTCGGAAAAGACAGACGATGCTGAAGAACTACGTTCCCGTAAATACACATGCGTATCTAAATAGCACGGCGATAGCTACTGCAATGTGAATATGGTATAGGTCGAGACGTGTGCCAGTCATAAAGAAGGGAGTCAAGTCACCAGGGACAGAAGCTTACACCCTCTATAGTGCCACAGTCTTTTCCACCATGGGGCTATCCCAACTGGGCGGTTTTGACCTTAGTTTCAGCTGATCTCGTTCATAGAGCTGACAAAGCATTCCACATACTCGCGAAGCTCACCGTTTAATCTTTTTGAATTACCAGTATTTATAGGTAGAATTTTCTTCACCAGCTCACAGGATCCCTTGAAAGAAAAGATTGACTGGAGCGTGGCTTGTATTCACTGTCATTTGTCCTTCATAATATTTAGAATTTTTCATAGCAAGAACTTCCTAAGTGTAGTATTTATTCAGCTTGTGGATGACAGAGAATGGTGAGTATTACACAACCCATGTTTGTTACAGGGAGATAGACAAGGAAGAAGAAATTAAGTTCCATAGCAATTGCCGTTTTAGCGATATATTGTGTCACTATTATCAAGGAGAATTTTTTTTCAAAATCTTCGTTAGAGAATTGGTATAGTGACTAGGGCAATAAAAAGACAAGAGGGTTGTGACGTAACGCATTACGAGCCTTTACTTTAGACAACGTTTCGCTCAGTTGGGAGCCTATCAAGCAGGTTTAATAAAGCTTACTCACCATACCCCCGGCCGGGATTGAACCCGCGGTCAAAGAGTCTCAAAACTCCAGCCCGTCGCGTTAGCCACTAGACCAGCTAGCCACAATAGTGGCTAACGCGACGGGCTGGAGTTTTGAGACTATGACCGCGGGTTCAATCCCGGCCGGGGGTATGGTTTGTTTGCAATCGTGTCATTACGAAAGCTTACTCATCAGTTAAATGTCTACTAAAACGTATGTGTCCTAGTTACTCATCTTCATACCATAGAAATGGCTTGAGAGATCTAAAAACCATGCAGTATCAATAAAACTTGTCTATCCTGTTAGAGGAGACATCACTTACCACTATGTCTGAATATACTCTGACTAGGTCAATGACATTGCTGATAACCAGATTCAAATGAGCTCTGACTGCTTCAAGGGCATCATCTACCACTAAGCGCAGATAAACTATGATTAAGAAACTTAAACAACTTACAATCGCTTTTCATTGTAAAGGTGGCAAAAACATCCTCGTCACTGAGCGTCAGCTCCTTAGCTATCATGAAGTGACCTATGACGGAACTCCTAATAAAGGTGACAGAGGGCTCGTTGGATGTGGCTACGAGGACTGTCCACGACCCCAGAGCCACAAGCACAGTTACCATAATCGTTTTCCGTCCAGGCATCATGAAGTTTATTTCCTTGGATATCCTGGGAAAAAGCGGGGCTCTTGTTAATTCCAAGACACATTTTCAGGCTGGAAACATCATAAGCATTTCCATCCAGCACTTGTACAATAGTCGTTTAACAAATTGGGGTACAAACACTTTGCATACATGTGAATCAGTTAAATATGTAACGAATTTCTAATATAAGGACAGTGGTTAATGAGTAGGGAATGAGGGGAAAAATAATTCCTAAGATCCTTTGGCAATAAGCATTGGAGCCCTGAAACCTGTCCGATTCTAGTTTTTGCTGGTTATATTTTAAAACTAATTTTTTTCCCATTCTTTTAACTTTATCAGAATACAAACTTTTAAAATTAAGGCAACATTTGGCTTGGAGAACAAGTTTTTACTAAACATAGGCATGTATATTCAGGAGAGTAAGTGATGGGGGTTTCAGAACCCGTAAACCTATGTCAGGTCAGGACGTGTGTACTGAGTAGTGTATGAGCAGGGAGTTCTACCAACTGGAAACGTCCTTAGTTCTGAGTGTTGGTATCTGTGACTTGAGTGAGCAGATTCAAGATATTTTTTTTCTGCTACTGCCTTTTTTCTCGCATAACGCTAACCCTTGGTTAAAGGTATAGTGTAGATGCTTACATTCTTCTCAGGGATGGCGTTACCTATCTATTACCTAATATTGTTTATGAGAGTAATGAAGGTGACGGTGATGTACCACCATCATGTACATTACCTATCTAAATGCCAAGAGAACATTTTAGCAAATGCCCTGAGCGGCTTTAGAAATTAGTTAGAAAAATCTATGAATGAGAATGGGTGGGTATGAGAAGGACCCACCTAGCAGATCCCTCGGCAGGTTTCATAAAGAAAAATTCGAAACACTTACTTTGAGACTCGTATTAAGAAAATTACTAGGACCGTGCCGTAGCTTCTATATATATTGTGTGCTTGTCCATTCTGAATCCATTGTGTGTGTTTTCTGTTAGAAGCTTTCAACACCTAACATACCCTTTACTTGTTCCTTTCTTTTGTTTTCATATATCACTCAAAACCTGTCTTGTAAGTCAATCCAGAAATATTATCAAATTGTGATATAACTGGCCAGGACAAACAGAGACGTCGTCTAGTTGTCATTTATATTTTGTGGGCTAGGTTGGAAGATACTTCCTGCTGATCTTATCAGTACTAGTATAAGAAATGTAGTTTAGTTTGGCTAAAAAAAATTTTTACCTATGTTAGGGAAGAAACGTGATATCTGCTATTAGGACAGGAGAAACTTTCTTGTTTAAAAACGGTATGTACTCAATCAGGAGAATAATTTGTACAGTTAATACTCTAGGTTTTCGGCTATGGGCAGGAAGTCATCCACAAAGTTACTCAAGTATTGCACATGTGGAATTTATCATCTCGCTTCTCTGAACCGTGTATTTACATCACACCTTCAACATACCTGTATCATCAGCAGCGAGGATGTACTGACAAACCACCAGTAGTATGGCGACCGATCTCTGATCAGGACGAGTGACAAGCTCGTACTGAACGCTCTGCTTATCTATTCTGGTACCCCCCCCCCACACACACACACACCTACCTCCCTCGAGCCACCCAAACATCTCTCCCTAAATATGCAACCCAACACCTTCACTTTCTTCCCCAACCTATCTCATCCCTACACCTTCCTATGAATGGGCCTCCCACTTCTATGTACGAGCCATCCATCCAGTTCTCTGGAGCTACCCTTTGTTAACCATAATTTTTGTAGGGGTGGACCCGGTAAGCTCCAGCTGCGAGTCATATGACTAAGACCCGCGTTAGGAAACTTGTCCTGTTTCCTGACAAACCTAACCTTACCTATAACTCCCCATCCATCGTACCGCTCACACCTCGCCACACGTAGCCACTTCTAGTTTTCCAAGCACATGCAATACAATATATCAAACACCACCCATTTATTAGGAATATCTTCAATATCCCTGAGAAAGCTAGGCTTTGAATATTAAGATATTACAAAAATCCCAAGGGAAATCACTTTGCTCTACTTTTTTGGGTTACTCTAAGTAATATACATTATGTTAAACTATGTATGATAGTTATAATGTAAACCTGTAACTAAATAAACTTCTAATCTGCTCCAATATGAGTTACCAAAAGAGCTGACTAAAACAAATTAGCTCCTACTGAAGCTTTCGCCCTGAATGTGATCAAAGACATAAATTAACAGAACAATAAATATAATTCAAAACAACTGACACTATAAATTTTGTAAAGCCGTGAATTTAGAGAACAAAAAAACAAATAATTTCAAATACAAGACCAAAAGAAATAAATTCTTGAAGAGGGTTAACAATACACCTTCCACATTCCAAATGCGCTCTAACATTAATTGTTAAAGTAGACCTTTGTAATGATGGCGAGGGAAACTAATTTCTGCTCATGAACGTTTAAATAAAGTAGATAGTTTCGGTCTCTGTGCGTTCCCAGAGAAGTATCTACAGCACTTTTTACTCTAGTATCCTGTAGATGAGGGGCGGCCAGACTTTACTATGTGGGGATCTACTTATGCTAAGTTCTCGTCTCCCTCCCTCTCTCTCTCTCTCTCCTTCCCTTTCTTCTCTCCCTTTCTCTCGTCATCAGGAGCTATTGCAAAGCTCCTGATGAAGCACGGAGACGCGTGAAAGATCTTCAGCTGACAATTTCCATCTCCCGTGGCATGTCTTGCATTGTTAAGATCGTCTGCCGGCAACTGTATTTCACCCCACACACACACATATATATATATATATATATATATATATATATATATAATATATATATATATATATTATATATTATAATATATATATTATGATATGAGAGAAAGAGAAAATACATATACTGTAAATGCACAATAGTGCTTATTAAATTTTAATCTAAAATTGAAAGTTGCAATAGTGAAAAGCTCTGTTCCACAAGGCTCAGTACTCGCCCCCATCCTGTTACTCATCCTCATATCAGAGATGTAATCCACGGCACCGTGTCATTATTTGCAGGCGATAGTAGGATCTGCTCGAGACTCATCTAGTGAGAACACGGCTAACCTCCAAAAGATATAAACCAAGTTTTCCAATGGGCAACGGAAAACAATATGATGTTCAATTAAGACAAATTCCAACTACTCCATTATGGAAAACTGGAGGAGATAATAACTAGAGCTGAGTATACTACAAACTCTGATCATACAATAGAGGGGAAAAATAATGTGAGGGACCTGGGAGTGGTAATGTCTTAGGAACTTCCTTTCAAGGATCACAACAGTGCCACAATCACAACTGCAAAGAAAATGATAGGATGGATAATGAGAAAGTTCAGAACAAGAGATGCCAAGCCAATGATGATCTTTTACAAATCACTTCTCTCTAGGCTGGAACATTGCTGTGCATTAACATATCCGATCAAAGCACGTGAAATTGCAGATCTAGAGTGTGCACAGAGAACCTTTACTCCACATGTAAGTTTTATCAAACACCTCAGCTACTGGAAACGCTTGGAAGCACCTGACTTATACTCCCTGGAACGCAGGTGAGAGAGATGTATCATAATCTACACTTGGAAAATCCTAGAAGGAATGGTCCCAAATCTGCACACAGAAATCACTCCCTACGAAAGCAAAAGACTGGGCAGGCGGTGCAAAATACCCCCAATGAAAAGTAGGGGAGCCATTGGTACACTAAGAAAACACCATAAGAGTCCGGAGGAATTACCAATAGGCCCCTGGGTGCCTTCAAGAGGAAACAGAACAGATAGTCAGCGCCGGATCAGCCGAGCTAGCATCAAACAGCCATTAGGTGATCATCTGACAGACCGAAGTGGTATTTTGATCTGATAATTTTCATATATGAAGATGCTGCCTAGTAAAGGTAAGTTGATTAAAAAAAAATAGTCAGCTACACGATAACTTTTACAAGAAACCTTTTCTGGTTAGCCAAGAGATCAATTATTCTTAATTTTTTAAAGGGGTGGACTGGTAAGGCAGTGGATGGCCTCGGTCAGATAAGCAAACCTCTTAGCAAACTTTTTCCGAGATTCGGATATTTTTCTCAATAAGTAGCTTCCAAGAGTATTTTACTGATTCTCTACCGGGATAGTTTAGCAGTTCTTATTTCTAATCCCTGTAAAATAAGAGCAATCGTTACCAAGGAGGCAGATAACTATTTTTAGTAATTTTCGATAATACAGCGTATTTTCGCCCTTAAACAAATGCATTTGCTATTTTATGGCAGCCTCTTTAATTAAAGCTATACAGTGGATTGACAATTATTTTCAAATTTTTATATCTGAAGTGAACACTATAAAACCTATTAGTTACATAGTAAATTCGTCTTCCCAAATACGAAGTGTTGGGGCCATAAGTCTGTAATAACTCAGAGTAGCTTGCTGGTGTTGGCCTCTGTGTTTTATTGAGACAACAAACTTTAAACTTGGCCAAGGCGAGCCGTATTTTTCCCAGTCAACGACTTTATATAAAGAGAAAGAAAAAGAGAAGACACACAAAAATAGAGAGAAATTTTTAAACACTTACTTTTTTTCTATGATCATTCTTGGTCTTCTGAAACATACGGTGTCACAACAGTCGGCGGTGGTATTGACTATTCATATATATTCCCATACCGTCTGATGTTTTCCCAGCGAGTGAACTATGCACTAATATCATTGGCTGATTATACTGACTTTCAATTCGAAAAGTATTAACTCAAATAATTTCTAAGTAAAATCCTACATATGGCAAGTATATGACAGTTGGAGCGGTGCTCCTGTGTATGCAAATATATCTGGTCCAAAGGCTAAAGAATACGTAAAATACTAAGTATTCCAGCAATTCCAGCGAACCCATCAAGAAACTATGAACGTCACTTGGCTAATTATATCCTAATCTCGATGATCTGTTTGAAACTTATGGTTTCGCACCCCGGTCTGATGCCAGACTACAAGTTGACTACTTGTTCGGATACTGTTGGTGCCAGCTTCATTCAGATTCCCACAGCAATC